GATGCTAAGTCGGTTATTACTTTCTTATAGTCGAGCGTTCACAAATACAGCGTGACTGGCTAGTTTGCAAGTCACCATCAAAAACTGGCTCCGTTTTGAGGCGTGCTCCATGATGCGTCTATTTCGGGTACTGTAGCAAGGTGGCTGTGTGCTTGCGACGTGCGCGCCAACACTTCGATTTCAAACTGAGCATGTCACACTCCAGTGTTGATCTATCTAGTATCGAAGTTTCATGGTTTATTTCCTTACTTTCGTATACACATACGTCTTTGGGACGATACTTTATCATTGGCATTTGCGTGCGGCAAATTTTGTCATGTGATTTTGTTTCGCTTGGGAGGAATTACCGCGTGTTACCCGTTTACTGGTCTGGTAACACCCAAAGTTCGTTATGTAGTGGCTAGATAAGCTCGCAAGAGCTGCAACCAAGCTTTTACGTTAGAGTGGGCTTCTTCTTTTTTACGGTTCCAGTGTGAAATAGATGCGAATCATCCTGCTATTTTGCAAGTGCGATCGACCCTTACGAAGGCTTCTTCCTAGTGTTTTTTGATGAGAATAATAGTTCCATATATCCCTGAAGTTGCTCTGCCATCAATACAAGCATTTATACAACCAGCATGCCGGGATTTCAAGAAGATCGAGCTAGGAGTGTACTAACCATAAGTTCTGGGTGTGGTTCACTAGGACAGAAAGCGAATTTTTCGCGTTTCGCAGCGCGAAACATTTTTCGCTGCGGGAACCTCAGGTCCACCTCTGATCATCAGTGGACCCGATGTTCCCTGCTCTAATGAACCACACCCCCAAGTTCTACATTTTCGTATTGAAGTTTTGCTGCTCCTGAGATTTCCTTTAAACACTCAAATTTTCATTTGGCGATCCAAGTAGGTATGTTAATTGCCATTCTCAGCTTTCAGCTTTTATTTGTGCCCGTGCATCCATCTAAAATTGACCATTAATGTAATATTTCAACACGTTTCCGACTACTCTTTGTGTTTTCAGTACTGTTATCCGTTGTGTTTATTCACTAGGTGACTTTACTGATTACATTTTGTTTACTTTTTAATCTTTATGGCAGTTGTGTAACTGCGTAGTGTCTCGATGACCTGTCATTTATGCAGTAATAAGTAACTTGAGCAGCTTTGCGTATAATCCTTTTAGAAAGCAGATGCATGGCACTGAGAGGAAGAAGTCAATGGGTATGCCGCGCTGGGGTGTGCCTGGTTCAACTATGAAGACACCCACGAGGCCGCGGTTTACTATTGGAGGAACGCAAATCAATTCATCCTCTAAGAAGTAAGCTACTAGTAGTTATAGCTTGCCTACCAACTAAGAATTTGAAAACTTAAACGTAGCGTAGACTTGAACGCAACTTTTTGCAGTCTTAATACCACATAAGTAAACAACACCGTGGAGGTAGCGCACATTAAAAATTTTTCAGTTGTCTAATTTTCTTAATTTGTCATCGAATTTGCCTAGGCTAGTCGAACTTCTCACTCAGTAACTGGTACCGTCATGAAAAACGAAAAGTCTGAACGTTGCACGGAAAAATTGACTTCTTACTGTTGGTGTCCAAAAACTGGATATTTTTGCATACTTTAGTGATGCCAATGCAGGCGGACAACCTCGCTTCAGCATCGGAGGAGCGGTACCTGCCAGTGCGCGGAGACACTCAGTGTTCAGGTCTCTCACAAGTAATTTCAAAGTAAGTATTATGAGCCACTTTTAATTCCGCATGATATTTTAAGCTTTGACCATGATATTCACCACGAATTTTGTCGCCCTTTTCCTGCTTTATTTGTCTGGGGAAAGTTACTAGGATTCACTCCAAGTGGAATTTTTACTTTTATTTTTAATCTTTGAGAAAGGATATATTTCATTGTTCCATTGTGAACAAGACGCTATTTTACACAGGATACACGGCCGCTATCTTCGAAAGAATATCAGAGCGAGATGGTTAGAACGATTTACGAGTTCCTTCTTGAACATGACGGAGAGGTACGTTTTCGGTTATCTAACGTGATCACCTTCACAGCATGATTATTCCGTGCCTATTGTCTACAGCCGTTGGCTGCCACAGCAACAACAACCTCAATGTCTTACAGAATAGGTATCCAGGTATACCTCCTTGAAGAAGTTTCAGAAACTCGATACTTTTTCATTCGTTGTATCTGTGGCTCTATATCTTGTTTTTTGACCGGTAGTAAAGCACACCACTAATAGCGAGTCCCTGAGGGAATTACTACATACGTAAGAGGAAACTTCTGTTGGGGGAAAGGATTAGCAAGGTTATTGATGATCAATTTTTACCGGGAGCATGCATTACAATCGGTTTTCCAGCGCGGCATGCTGTGTACGGCAAATTCAATGCTGCAGACCATATGTAAGGCAGATGTTAGACTTTGCTATGCGTTATTAGCTAACGGTTAATCTCGTAGCAGGACGCCTGCCTAGTGGCCCTGCAGCGGAAGATCCTAATGTTATCTAGGGCGCTGCTACTTTTCTTTTCGTCAATCTGTGTGTTATTGTTTTTTGTACGTATGTTTAGTGATCTCCTGCTCAAATAACTGTTTGTGTCCACGATGTCGATGTCTAGTGTACACTTACAGTTTTCACATTAATATTCTGTTTAGAATTGCTTGCCAGAACGAGTTATTCGCTCACCGACAAAGCAGGACTTCGTCTGCATGTTCGAAAGCATCTACCAGCATCTTAATCCTGATTTCCAACTGAAGAATGTTATTGAAGAAGTAATTTTATTTTCAAGCGCAGCAATGCTAATTAAACTGGTTAGAGAAGACAACTTGACGAACGAATGGTGCTTGCAGGTGCCAGCAATCTTTCGCGAACTTGGCTATCCTACAGCTATCAAGCCAAGCACCATGCAAACTATAGGAGCTGCGCACTCATGGCCGACACTACTCGGTGCCCTCACCTGGCTAATCGATTTTGTTAATGTTCGTGTTTTGATGACGGCTTTTGCTCTAACAGGATGGAAATAACTCGTTGAAACCATTACTTATTTAGGTAAGCATTAAGCTACAAGGGAAGGTTGGACAAGAACTCCTTCTAGGTGGAGATAATTCAAGTGGTACTTTAAAAGCGGTGAGTTCTCTTATTTCAGTAAACGAATTTGCCGTACCCAGTGATGTTTTGAATAAACTGTTCTATGACTTTTCATTTCTAGTATAAGTACAGTTGGTTGAACGCTGGATTCAAGGAGTATGTGCAGAATAGAGAAGCGTTCATGGATGAAAGTGCTTTTGATAGTTAGTTTATTTACATCATTATTACAGCAATGTTTCTGGAAAGTTTTGCTCGCGCATTATATCATATTTAGATAAGATCCAGGCTCTGCGTCAGTGGTATGAACAGCAGGAAGATTTCGATACTCAAAAGAAGGCTATAGAAGCCAATCTTGAGCAGATCATTGAGGAGTGCAAAGAACTAGAAGCGGATGTAAGCGCTTCAAACATTTTTTTTTCATGTTTCCATGCAGTCTGTTTGACTACCGTTCCACATACTTTATTCTCTTATGCCATCGCTTCAAGGTTTTCCAGAACAGCATTCCTGTATATTATGACATGACTGGAATCAGTAAGACGGGGATATGGTGCGGGATCAGAAGTTATGCTTCCACAGAGTCACTGCACTTCCTCGGAAATCAAATGTTTTCACCTACGTGTGACTTGTTGGGGGGAAGGAGTTTTCATGACGGAAACTGACTTACAGGACAGTCAAATTTTGTCGTATGCATTCGTCCTGTCGTGCACACAGAAAGCCTTTCAGGTCTTCAATCCATTGACGACGATGCCATTTTTCGCGCTTTCTAATGCTTCCTAATTCTGCACTGTATGTACACCAACAGTCATGCTATATGATGAAACCAGGCAAAAAAGTTGTGGGAAACCTTCCTTCATCTCAGAGTCTTATTTGGCTTCTTGGAGAGAGCCTAAAGCTTCTCGTCAAGGTGGGCGAAAAATGTCGGAGCAGGCTTGAAAATTTTTTATTTCTTCGCCACATCCGAATCCCTTGATCTCATTTCGCTGCGAGGTCTATCACAGCCCTAGCTAACCGCTGGCAAAGGCCAGATCCGTACATCTAAAAAAAACTTTACACGACGAAGTGCTCCACTTTTTTCCTTCACTAGAACCCTCTCTGTGAAATATATGCGCATACTGTGGTCACACAAATACTACAATGGCGTTTTGATGAACATTATCGTAAGAAGTGTGAAATTTGTGCAAAATACTTTTTATTATGTCGCAGTCTGGCATGCCGTATTGTCGCCAGTATGTTATATTTGTTCACCTTCAAACACAGGTTTGATAAGATTTGAGGTTACTACGAGGCTATTCAGGTGTTCATTGCACTAGGATTTAAGGTTGATTGTTCGTCCTGTCGAATAGATGTGGGGGGGGTCGCATTTTGTGATTCACGTGGGAGAATTCGTTGCTGGAGAAATCTCAGAATTGGACATAATTCAAAGTGGGCTGAAACGGTTCAATCCCATCAGTTTCACTGCATGGAGTACATCTGAATCGACTAGATGTCAGCTTCACCTTGCATTAAACTTTTTATTCTTGTGCTCAACATTTTACTCATTTTTTAAGAAAGGGAAGGTGGAACGTATACAAGATGACATTGCTCGTCTTGACGAAGATATCGCTAAGGCCACCGAGTACAAAGAAGAAACAGAACAGCACGAAAAACAGTTGGCTGAACAAGCTGGTATGTTTCTACTTGATGCAGTGGTTTTGGTATCAGCTTGCTTTACTTCTGCTCTAAATCGCTTCTTATGTTCAAATAATCCGCTTTGAGGAAACTGTGAACATAGAAGTAGCTGCGGTCCGAAAACAAGCTGAGGAGTACCACACCAAACTCGCAGAAGTTGAGAGTGCCATTAAAGCTCAAGAGGAAGGGGAAGGACTGTGTGGCACTGAAGCACGAGCTCTTATTGCTGAAGTAGATCAGGTAGGAAAATTTCTGGTGTACTTTTGGTGTTTTGCTTTCCATGTGATGTTCTCCTTCATTGTTTTTCCTCAGAATAAACTCACCATAAGAAAACTGAAAGCTGAACTAGAAGACCTTTGCAAACAACACTGGTTGGCAGTTCCAAAAACTAAGAGTGCTCTTGCAGAGGTGAGATCCTTCTAAATCATTGGTGTGCGTAGTACTCTCATCAATTTCTTTTCTTACTATTGACCTGAATGAATACTTTCCTACACTATCCGTTGCAGCAACAAGACCGCTACCATAAACTGGTTATGGATATCAGAAGCCTCTCTTTGAGCGTTCTTTCGGAAGATACAGTCGTAATTGATGAAAATCCAATGGATGCTAGGTGAGTGTGAAGTAACTGCACACGTATTCGTTGAATCGTAGGTAGTTTTTCTGTTCTCGCGACATTTTTAAAAGGTCTTCCCTTTTTCTAGAAGCCGAAAAGTTCTTTTCAAAAGAACCTCAAAGGATTTAGAAAAATTGCTCCACTCTTTTAGAGCTCTTCATACTGCCATCACGAAAGACTGCAAACGTCTCCTAGAAGAGACTGAGGCCAAGTTTCTACAAAAGGAAGTGGGATCTTGAGCAAATGATAAGACAGGCGATTTCCGAAGCCGAAAACATCAGGTAATGTTTGAATGTTAAAGGATAAATAAAGCATTTGCCGTTGATCAATCCCTTTTTGGGATGCGGCACGCATTCTACTTCCATTTGTACATTCGTAGTGGCGTTTGAATGCGATGTGGCCTATACAATGACTTGCGGGGGCCAGCCGATGTACAAGTCAGTGTTTTTATCCTCCCAGACAAGTCTGGTACCAATTAACCGACCCCGGAGGGATGGAAGGCTTGGTTGGCCCGGGCGACTCACGACCCAGGATTTGATCCCCGGACCGCTCGCGTGGTAAGCGCGCCACTTGTCACTACACCACTTCCGCCCTTGCCTTTCAAGCATTCAACGGGGCTTCGAATCCCCCCAAACGCATGTTTGAATGTTGCTCAAAAAAAATCCGATTATTCTAAGGGTAGTCCATTTCAGGCAAGAAGATGGAGTGATCAGTGGTAAACTTCGCGAAAGACAGCGTATGGAGTCGCGGGCAGAGCGCCAACGCAAAAGGGATCGAGATGATTGGGAAAAGGATGTCATTGCCGCAGAGGCAGAGATAGGTTTGTGTTAAGCATTGTACAGGATTTGCACGAAGCTTACAAGCACGAATGCTTGCGTTGTTTCGGTTGTGAATGTTCGCTGCAGTTTTGTATTGAGTCAGTAGAAGTAATTCTATAGCGGGATCCGGAATCGGAGCGAGCTTCAAATTTGGACCTGGCCCCTGGTTGATTTAAATAGCGTCGTTCGAATTTCAGTCGCTAATTCGAATTTCGTCCGTGCCGTTTCACGTTCTTTTAAAATGACCTGGGGCTTTCTCTTTGATTTTAGAGATGTCCTGTCATCATGGGTATGCGAGGTTATATTGCGCTCGCGGACAAACAAATTATTTTTTATTATAGATCTTCCTTGCATGTTGGCTACACTTTGATCGGAGAGACTGACTTCTCACTTCGCTGAGTGCCACACCCTGTCTACCGCGCAGTTCATTGAGAAGAGTTTTTGTCGTCAGAAAGACCCAAACCTCTCATAGTGGGAATGAAGCACGTTCTAGTGAACGATCATCGAGAGTAATTGGTAATGAATCATGAATCCTTGAACCGCGAGTAGACGTTGGTACTCGTTGGAATTTTTATATGTTGGGTTGCGTAGCCGTTGGCCCAGCGTGCATCCCTAACAAGGGAGGTCTTTCAGGGCAAGGTGCGCTTTTTCAAAACGGTTTTGTGCATATTGTAGGGACGCATGTAGGGAACGCAAAACCATGTTTCATTTTCGCTGAACGGTTATAGCAGTACCAAAAAGAAGCATAAGGTACTGTTAAGGGTTCGATCCCCGTGGCGACTAAATTTTGCATTTGGGTTGGCGCCTACGGTTTGGTGCCAAATCGCCACTATATCAAAATCAAATGTCCATTTCATCGTCAGACCATTTGAAGCAAAAGTGGCCCCCAACCTGATTGCAAATTTGGTCGTCGCGGGGGATGAACCATCAAGAGTATTATTCACCACTTTTTTGGTACTACTAAAACCGTTCAGCGAAAACGAAACATGGTTTTGTGGTCCATACATGCATCCCTACAACATGTACTAAACCGTTCTCAAAAGAGCGCACCTTGCCCTGAAGACCTTCCTTGTAAGATACTTAAACAAGCACATTTGTCGCTTTTCGCCGCCTCGAAAACATGTTTCTTATTTCTATATTTTACATGTGAAAGCAAGCAGAAATGAATTTCAGATCGGCTGGAAAATGAGAAGGAGATGTTGGAAAACAAACGCCATGAAATTAGCAGCCTGAAGCGGGTGGAGCTCCTCTAATTTTCTGTTTGCAGTCTGAGAATAATTCAAAATCAGAATTGGTGTAAATTATTTCACTCCAAATAAAAAGGCATGTTCGTCCAGGATTTGGAAACTCTTCGAGCAGAAAACGTTGAATACTCGAAGATATTGGCTGAGAAGCAGTTGAAGATTAGCGATGCTGTTCTGTCAAGATTCCATGTTATTGTCAGTGATCTAGACATGATGAAGGTCTCTTTTTTTCTAAGTTTATTTCCGCTCATTCATATATTCAGTCTTATCCAAAGAACAATTTGATCTGTTGGCCTGATATTTTTCTCATCGTTGTGATCCATTGCTTCTGAGCTCAAGTAGCTTTTTTACTGTTATGACCGCTAATGTATTTCAACTTTTATGTAATTATTCCATTTTGTAGGAGGCGCGGGAATGGATGATGAGAACATGGAAGATCTGGTTGCGATGGGTGATCTGATTCCGACCGATTCTCTTTTGGACGAGGGATTTGATGAAGACTAGGATTGTTGTACGTTGTAATATATTACATGTCACAGTTTCTGGAGGCATTTTCATCCTCCGCGTTCGAAAGCTTCTAATTTTAGTTTCTGCGGTATGTCACATATACGAGAAAATCTTAATGAAACCTTTAAAAAGTCAATAGCACACGGGTTCGACGTTCGATGAATTTTGGCATCGTGTGTGGTATTCTTCCAGGTTCGCTTCAAAGCCACAAGCCAAGATGGCACAGGACTTTATTCGGCTAACGTTTCGGCTTGGTCGCCTTCTCTACGGGCCGTAGATGAGACGGCCAGAGATTTGTGGAGAACACGCTAGCTCTCCGGTTAGCCGGAAAAAGTTCTGCTCATCGGCGTGTGGCTTTAAGGCAAATTTAAGAAGAGTACTCAAATTTTTTTTGTGGAGATGCGCTATGCTCCTATGCTAGAGCTAAATTGTTATTTCTCTTTAATTTAACCTTCATATGCTGTTGTGGGCATTCGCGCTTGTTTTTACGTAGAGCTAATGTAACTCGATTTTGAAGTCTTCTTTCAATTCTACAGGCAATTTATTTCTTACATTTAGTTAATGCATGCTTATCAATAAAAATAGTGACCTGCAGCTATACAGTGCGTTTCATAACTATAAGGTCACCCTAAAATATTGCATTTCCGGACCAGCAGCCAACTGGTGATTTTTCCACTATCACCAAATGATTCCCCACTACGAATAACCCCTGTATCGCAATTTTGGTGGGAGCAGCTTTTCTTCGAACTTTTTTGTAATTATTTTTCGATTTTGCACCGTTTCATAATATTAGGTACCGGATATCTTAATGTCGTTTTTCTGAGTTCAGGAAGTTTCGGGGCCGATTACCATGGAAAATCAATTTCTCAGAACGTTCTTTTTGCTTATTAATACTACGTAATATGTTGCTTATTAGTCCCTATTGTTACTTTACAATTTACCTCTCCCCCAATTTTTATACCTTTTTCTGAAAATTCCTGGGTTCATTGCGCAAATTCGTATGTGTGTACCAAATGCCATCAAAGTCGGGCTGGGAGCTACAGATCCGCCAACCAAACTAACATTGCTTTTGTTAGAAGGAATACTACCGTTTGGAATGCTCACCGGTTCTCCTCAGTTTTCTAAAAGACAGTGAAGTTTTTGAAAGGATGCCTGCAATCGTCTTCAAAAAGATGGCCCTAGTTAAGCCAGCTGAGAAGGGGCTGCACCAGACTTGTGCTGAAATGGTAGGATACTTTCACTGTGATGGATTGATGATGCGCAAACATTCCTATGAATTTGATTCCGCAAGATATTCTGATAAATGTGCTCACCTGCCTCTCACGCGCGCTCAAAAAGGGTGCGTTTTTGACCCTATGTTGCAAAAAAGTCTCCGTAAAAAACTGCCCACTTGGGCTGATAAGTTCTAATTTTTCTGTCGTGCAATGCAGACCCTACGCTAACCAGCTGTATACTTACTTTGTCCAGGCCTTACTTTTTAGCAAGTAAGAGGGATGATTTATCAGAGGATGTCAAAACCGACCTGCCTCTCCTTTTTAACTCAAAAAATTCCGAGCTTGGATCGTGCAAGGTTTCCACTCAAACTGTTAGATGAGGGGATCCTAGTAAGTCATTTTATGATTAAACTAATTCGCTCCCGGGTTTTGAACTGAAATATTGCTGGTCCAAAACTCTTGGTGAAAAAACGACATTAAGATATCCGGTACCTAATATAAGGTCAACTGAAAAAAGCAGCAGTCGAAAATATTAAATGACAGATTTGAAACGTAGACATGATAATGTATGGGTTCTTCCTTTATCAAGGGCAACATCGAACAGCCTACCGGAATCGAGATTTCAGGGCAGATCACCATCGATTCACTTCCGTGTTCAAGGGTTGCTTATATACGCTCTTGTGTAGTTTTTAACTGGCGTTTATCCGCACTATTCTCATGACAAAGATGCCTGTGAGATGTTTTACTAAAATACGGCTATAACTCCAGAATAATTTGTTCAGTTCATCTGGGTTTGGAGAGAAAGGCTGCTTGAATGACCTACATGGGTACCCGTACTGTTCTGTATGACTACGAAGGCTGGCCGACTTCATCAGCTCAAGAGGAAGGTCGATTGTCCTCCCAAGGCTCTATGCTAATCTTTGGAGTCCATTATGCAGTTCATGGAAGCGAAATTTGTGACACAACATCATTACACAAAACACCGACACCTTTGGCATCTCCTTAAGGGGGGGGGGTCGTATTGGCCCGCTGGGAGGAAGATATCGGGCCGGATTGATGCAGTAGTGTGTAGCATCACCGTCGGAGGACAAAGATCAGGGATCGAGTCGATACAAGACCGAAGATTCCATTGACAATTGCATTCCGCCCACATAAAATCTTTGTGATTCAGAAGTGTGATGTATGTATGTCTCACCACACAAGCACCAAGTACTATCCCTGGGCCAAATCTCTTCTGTCAGCCTCTCTCTGCCGGTCTGTCATATAGTTGGCTATAATTTGAAATAGCCTTTGTAATTCTGTTCAACGGATATGTCATCCGTTTTTAACGCTGGCGCCATCTGATAGCAGTACGACACATTTGAGAGGGTGTGCGTCATATTGGCCGCGATCCCATTGGCATTGGAGCACACAGGTCGTAGTTGCCACATCCTGCTGTGGCCGGACAACTCGTCCGCGCACTTCCATCCATCGGCTCCATGAAAAGGTCAAACGGGCGAATGCCCCAGGACTAAGCCTTAGAGAGCAGAGGGACACGCGAGAGAGCGCAAAGGAGGTTCAAAGGGCTGACAATACGCTAAGTACTCCGAGCATCTATCGCGCTCTTACTTCACTGTGATAAGTAGAAGTAAGCTGGAATCGAACACGAAAATACTCAGCTCAAATTACTGACAAAGTACTCTTAATGGTCTCCACATGAAAGCCCCAATTCCTTTACATTTCTCGAAATTTCAATTACTAAGGCAAGTTATGGTACCTGAACTCAACACAATAATTTCTCGCGCTGACAATGAAACAAGTTGGTGTAGTGCCAGAAGCCCTGCTTATTCGAGCAAGGAGCAGCGGCGCTGGCCACTGCTCGCCCTTCCTTCGAATCTGTCGCAGCTGCGACGTCATTTTGACGTCACCAACACGCGAACGCGTCCGCGCCGCCGGTGACCTTTTCTCTCCCCCCTCATTCCATCACACTCCTCTTGCCTTGGCGTCAGGCCAATAGAAGCTATGCGCTTTCTTAAAGATTACTGACGGCTCATCATGGTGATTTCTGAGACCCAACTTACCAGACCGATCAACTGTTGAATTATAGAAGGCAAGAGAAGCGGACGAGTTGTCCGGCCACAACAAGATGGGGCTGTGCGCTCTAATGCCAATGGATCGCGCCATATGATCGCCTAACATTTGAGAACGTAATCCTCGGGTGAATGGCGCCATTTGGCGCCAGCGTCAAAAATGAGTGTCATATCCGTGACCAGAGCATGAAATCACCTCTATGGATGAAGTTTTTGAAGAAAAAACTTTTTCAACACCTTTTGAGGTTGTGCTCTTGCGAGCGTGTGGAGCTGTCATAATACATTTGCACCAAATTTATTGTGGGATGCAATACTGTACAAATTAAAACTATGGCTCTAAAGAACAAATGTGGTTCATGGGTTTGCACTTGTGCATGATAGACTTCTATATTATTCGCGAGATGGCCATTAGTAAAATTCAAAAAAAAACAAGACATTGAAATCTTCTCTTCTCACCACTTGGGTCCACAAATTGGGAACTGCTCCTTATTTTTGTAATCAGTATCGAGAACTCTGTAAAATGATATGCACTTCGTACGGTAGTCTTTAATCTGAATTTTTCTTTGATCTTGGCTTTCAATACTGACCTGCGCTTGTGGCAGCTCATTTGATCTACGTCGATGGCTGCGCCGACCCCTCGTTTGGCCGTCTGCCTTCTCCGCATTTCCACAGTCTCTCACTTTTTGCCGGTCCCTCGATTTCGGCGGCACGCGCCTTTTTCGACGCTCGATAGCATCGACGGTAGATCAAGGCGGTTACAGAATGGGTGTGCTAGTGGAGATCAAGGTAAAATCTTTTTGAGGTTTCCCATACAAAATATATATCGTTCAGTAGCACTCTCAACACTGATACCAAATACGGAATTTTCGATTCGAATCAGCGAGCTTTGAAGAGTTATTTCAAAGATAAAGGCAAAGGTATGAACTTGAGCCTGAGCCCCTCCAACGAAGCGATCAATACGAGCGGTGTCGACTAAACCAAAACTCTTTAACGATTTGAGCGCCACAACAGGGCGCCAAGTAATATCCCCCACGTAGGTTTTTACTGGATTTGCTGGGGAAGGGGTGGCGCTCGACCGGCGCTAAGTGGGAAATTTTCTGCGCTTATTCTTCGCGACAAAGTCAAATCCCCCTATGCACCCTAAATACAATACTTTCTAATAAGTACATGTGGAAAGTTAAATCTTCCCCTCGTTTTGAAGATTGTCTTTGATCAATTTTATCACCGTACATTGTTTGGGGCATCGTTGAACCTCATTTTTTCTTCGCTCTTTTCATCCTTGCGATTTCTCATTATGCACTAGATCGCTCACTGCTTTATCTTCATTCACATCTTCTGTCCTTTCAATATTCCAAGCTTTTCTTAACTCATCACAGAAAAAATCCTGATACTGTAACTAATCCTCAAGCGTTTGTTGAGCGCGTTCGTGGTTGAGTTTATGCTAAATAATTCAATCTGTATGCGCTTGCATAAATCAAACCACCATATGACAGGCCTACTTCAATTCCGAGCACTAAAAAATGCGCCTTGTGGAGCAGCGCAGGACCCATGCGTCCCGCCGCCGCCGTGCTCACAAAATCGCACTCGTCCTACTTGACCAAAAAAACCGAAACGCGCGATGTGTCAAGGTGTTAGTGCTGGGGTTGGGTGCAGCAAGACCCGGCCAAGGAAGAGTCCACAAAGCTGTGTGTCTAATCCGTTTGATGCAGCAGTCCTCATAGTCAAGAGCGGGGGATGTGTCTAGGGATGCAGTTTGCGGGACCCATTCCCGGCCGGGCCTTGCTGCACTCGGCCCCTGTTGTTTCATAATTTTAAGAAATCTTGTACGGCTATTCTGGATCTTAGCACTGCAAGGTATGGGAGTGGAAGGCTGCCCCAAAATTTTGACAGTTCTATGACCTGATTCCTAAAATGGCATTTAGTTTTGACGCTGTTTTCATCTGGGTACCAGTTGCAGTCACTTTGTCACGACAGCTGTCACCACATCCGCTGTAAAGTTCTGTGTAGAGGTTAGTTAGTTGATCACGAATATGACATTCCTTTTTTAACGCTGTTAGACTCTTATTTCTGCCATCTTGAGGCTTCTCACTGATAGTGCCTAAGGCCAAGTTGAAGGGCTAACGGGAGGGGTACCTGGGTGGGTGAGTCGGGCGCCGTGTGGAAAGATGAACTGTATGAGATTACGGAGTGGCTTACTCACCTCCTTTCGCCTTCTG